AGAGGAGTTTGAGATGTACAGAAACGTGAAGACAATACAGAGTTCCCATGTGCCCACGCCCAGCTGAGTCTGACATTTCACATTAGTGTGGTATGTATTTGTCACTGTTAATGAACCAGTACGGGTACATTATTATTTACCAGAGACAGTGCTTTATGCAGATTTGCTTCGTTTTCGCCTAATGTCATTTTTCTGTTCAGAGACCCCATCTCTGTCACTCTGTACATTTAGGGGGTCACGTCTCCTTGGGCTCCTCTTGGCTGTGCCAGTTCCTCAGACTTGACTGGTTTTTGACAACGGGATGGTTTTGAGGAGTGCTGGCCAGATGTTTTGTGGGCTGCCCTCCACCGAGGTTTATCTGAGGGCTGTCTCCTGCTCGGACTGGGGCACACGTCTGGGGAGGGAGACCGGAGAGAGCAGTGCCCTCCTCATCGCGCCGTCTCAAGGTGCTGTCTGCGTGACTCTGCACTTGGGCATCGCCTGCCGGGTGTTCCCACCATCAGATGATTCTTTCCTTCCTTCCTTTCCGTACTGTAGTGTCTAGAAGGAGGGACTGCACAGCAGCTCTCAGGGAGTGGGGAGTCAGGCTTCACCTCCTTGAGGGCTGAGCATCTGGGTATGCTGGTTGAGATGTTTCCGCAAGGGAGATTTGTCTCTTCTCCCTGGTTTATTTGTTTATTCAGTCATTTATTTCAGTATAGAGTTAAGGATATTTATTTTACACTCTGTGTTAGAGTCAAAAACTATTTTGTTGCTGAAGCTAGTCTAGACAATGTGATTTTTAATAATGGTAATGAAAGAGAAAACAGCAAACCAATAGTAGTACTTTCTTTCTTGTTTTTTAAAATTACCACGCCATTTGACCAGGTGCTCTCATGTGTGGATGTTCACTGTGCTAAGTCATTTCTGTCTTGAAGCTAACTGGTCCCCTAGATATAACAGTCTCTTCCAGAAGCTTCTAGAAATGTGTTCACCGAAGGAAGTCTCTCCTTCATAGGACCCCAGGACTTAGAAGGGTCTATACAACATTTGTATAAATATAGACAATCATAATTAAATCATATAATAAATGCCTAAAATAGCATTTTATTAGTGTTTAGTCCATTTGGTTTAATGCAGTTACTGCTATAGTTGGGTTTATGTCTACCATTTTGCTGTGTGTTCTTTTCTATTTGTTATTTGTTCTTTTGCTCCACCCTTTCTTATCTTCATTTGATTTAATAAAGTATTTTAATTTCATTTTTCCCTTCTGCTAGCTTTTTAGTTATACTTTCTTTTATTAATCTTTTAGAGCCTACCTTATAGATTACAACGGCGTCTCTGACTTACTACTTTCCATCTTTTAATAATACATTTACCATCTCCCAAACAACCCAAGAAATTGATGTTTAACTCCATTAACCCTCTCCTACCCTCTGTGCCATTATTGTTAATATATTTTGCTTCTATGTGTGTTGTAAACCCCTTAAGATATTATTACTCTTTTAAAGGATCAATATTTATTTTTGTTTACCCACATACCTGTCCTCTCTTTTGGTCTTCCTGCGATTCTGTGAAGTTTTAGAATCTTTCCTTCAACATAAAGAATACCCTTAAGTATTCTAGGACAGGTTGGTTGACTACAATTTTCTCAGCTTTTGTTTATCTGAAAAGACTTATTTTGCCAACCCTTTTTTAAGAATGTTTCACTGGATATGCACTCTAGGTTGGCAGGTTTTTTCTTTTAGCGTCTTGAAGTTTTCTTTCAGTTAGTTTCTATTGAAAAAGTCGCCGTCAGTCTGATTGTTGCTGTTTTGAAAATTAATGTGTCTTTTTTCCTCTAGCTGATTTTCTCTCTTTGCCTTTGGTTTTTAGCATCTTGTTTAAGATGTGCATAGATATGGTTTTCTTTGTATTTCTCTTACCCAGGGCTTATTTGATTCTTTTTGACAGATTTCAGGTTTTTGTTGAAATTTACCTGTTTGAAGATGATTTGGGAAATGCCCTCCGAAAAATTCCAGAATAAATGTGGTGCTTAATTCATGTACTTCTTTTCCCTCAGCAGTGGTAGCTCCTTGAATTCTTCCTGCATTGGTACACTGTTGCCTGCAAATCATGTTTCCTATCTTTTGTACCATTCTTAAGTTGTTTTCAGCTATTTCAGCTATTTCATTATTATTTCAGCTATTTCCAGACTTGGAACTTTCTGGAATAGCTTTTCAGTAGCTGTAGTTACTTAGGGTTTCACGAATGATCCTGATGAATGTTTTTAATATTGGTTTTTCTCTGCTAAATCTGTTATTTTGAAGAAGACAGTAAGCAATTTGTGGTTTTAAAAGATGCCCCCATTCCCATCCTGTTCCAACCAGTTTAGAAAAATAAGCGAATCAGGTATTTGGCATGTTTTAAAATCTATTTATATGTGACTTTTCCACCATATTCTTTTATAATATCTTCTAGGATCACAATCAAGGATTCCCAGAGTACCATCCAGGTAGAAATAGCAAACCATTCAAATTGGCACACCTTCCCTGGATGCCATTTGATTACATAATGACTATGGGTAGTTTTATGATTCCTGATACAAGGTGTGGTTCAAAAATATTTCATCAGTTTATGGATGCCATTTAGATACTGTTTCTCTCCCAGGTCCCTGGGTCGGCTCTAGTTACCACCTCTTCTTAGTTCTTTACCAGTTCCTTTAACTAGTATCTAGAATCCCTGCTGTATTCAGGACACAGTGCTGGGCTGGGTTAAGGAAAGTACATAAAATAATTGATGAGAAGCCCCTACCCACCCGTAGTCCTTCTACTCTTGTATCAGTGAACCATGCAGGTACCTGAGCAATTCCACATAAAGGCAAAATGTCTCACAAAGGAATAAACAGCTGCTGAATTATTAATCCTAGAATCTGCTCTAGGGTCCTGTAATTCTTACCTATTTGTTTTCATTATTAAGTTAAAAAGGGGTTTGTGGATATAGGGGGTGAGAAGAGAATTATTTTCTTTTAGCTAAAAAAAAAAAAACCAAAAAAAACTATACCATAACATAACCTTTTTAAAAAGAAATACACATTTTACTATATCAGCTCCTTAATATGTCAGTTTAAATTTTTGTTTATTTCCCTTTGATCTTTTCTATTTAAACATATATTTTATGTATCATGGTGTATGACTTTACAATCTACATTTTTCACTGTCATAAACTTTTTACTTCAGTATCGTCTTCATAATTATACTATTTTAGTTACCATTTGATATTTTTTTTCCATTGGTATGCTACTATTTAACAGGTTTTTTTTGTTTGGAGGGGGTTGATATTTTTCCAGTTTTCAAGATTAGATATAATGCCACATTGAACATCTTTGATTCAGGAATCCCACTGCTAAAATAATTCAAAAGAGAAAAAGTTATTATACAAATCACTTTGTTGCTCATGCAATGGCAGGATCATAGCTCACTACAACCTCAAACTCATGAGCTCAAGTGATCCTCTTGCCTCAGCCTCCAGAGTATCTGGGACTACGGGCACACACCACCATGCTCAGCTAATTTTTTAATTTTTTGTAGGGACCTGGTCTCACTATGTTGCCCAGGCTGGTCTCAAACTCCTAGGCTCAAGTGATCTTCCCACCTCAGCCTCCACAAGAGCTGGGATTACAGTCATGAACCACTATACCCAGCCTTATTTTTGTGATTCTTGATATAAGCTGTGGTCCAGATTCTATTTTATTAGTTTATGGTGCCACCAGTAGTTTTATGACAGCCCTTGCATTACGAGCTGTAACTTAAAAATATTGGCATATTTAGCAGGTATAAATGATACTTGAAATTTGTTTTCATTTGTGTTTGAGTTAGTAATATGGTTGAATGATTTTCCCTCTTCTTATTTGCTATCTGAATTTAGAGGATCACTTTCAGCATTGAGCTTTTGGCTATTAATAAAGCATCAGATATGATAATTTGTGATATCTCCAAGGATATTTGTTAATGGGTGTTAAATGAGATAGCATGTATTAATGTACTCTGAACAGTGCCCAAGGCATAATAGGCACATGTTTGTCTCTCGAAGATACAAAGGTGCAAGTATATTGTAGCTTTCATATCTGTTTCTTTCTCTATCTTGAGGAAATGAGAAAGTATGCCTGTTTGTCTCATTATTGGACATATTAAAAATGAATTTTTATTTCAAGTAATTTGATAAAACTTCAGTGTTTTCAAATGGATTATTAACCACATATAGGAGAAATTAGACTTTGAAGTTTAATTCTTTTGTATCATTTTAATTACATAAAGTCTATGTATACAAGAGTCTTTAGGTGCAAAAAGAAAAATTGAACTTAATTGCATTATTTCAGTTTCAAAAAACCTCTAATCTTTATATGCCTTTAGGTATAATAAAAAAGATTTTTGCTAATGTTAATAAATTCCATTATTTTTAGATTATCTTTAAACTTACAAAATTTATCATTGAAGATAACTGATAAGATTTGATCAACTATGTTAGTTGAAGGTATTTTTATTCCTTATGTATACTGTGTTACCCCGAAAATAAGACCTACCCATAAAATAAGCCCTAGCAGGATTTCTAAGCATTTGCGCAATAGAAGCCCCACCCCGAAAATAAGCCCTAGTGCTGGGTGAGGTTATGCAGCGAATCTGCACAACCCGTGCATGTCGCGGAGCGGGAAAGAAGACGAGCAGCCCTTCTCCTCTGCCCATGAGAGCTCTAGTGCTCGTCGTGAGAGACTGGGGCCAATGGTTCTGAAGGAAATAGAGTCGCAAGAAATTCAGGATGGAATTTGGGGTTTGGAGAGTTACAATGATGTTCCAGAAGAAGATGGCTTAACTATACTTGAATAAATGTAGATTGTTGTACTATACTTAAGAAAAAAAACACATCTCCTGAAAATAGCCCTAGGGTGTCTTCTTGAGGAAAATAAATATAAGACCCTGTCTTATTTTCGGGGAAATGCGGTATATGGACTTTAAAGGTATGTTTTGTTTCTTATTTTTCTTCAGGTTAAAAAGGCCTTCTTTGCCTTGGTAGCCAACGGTGTCCGAGCAGCCCCGCTGTGGGAGAGCAAAAAACAGAGTTTTGTAGGTAAGCAGCGCGGGCCTGGGGGATCTAAACGGGAAACCTTAGAGGCAGAAAGCCCAAAGTATTTCAGTAGGTGCTGGCTGGGAATTCACCCGGCAGGCGTGTTACCAGATTACAGAGAACTGTTGTACTTTTGTGGGGTGCCTTTTGTTTGTTTGTTTGTTTGTTGGTTGGTTGAATTTCTTTTATTTAACAACTGATTTGGCATTCTGAAGGAGCTTTGGTGTCTTTGCCAGCCCAGTGAAAAATTCCACATAGGACGCCTTGGCGGCAGGCGTTAGCCGCGGCTCCCAGCAGCCCCCGCGCCACTCGCGCCCCTGCTCTGCCAGCTCAGCTCAGCCTCGCACACCTTTTTGGTGGGCAAATGAAATGATGTAAACACAATTGATGTCTTTGCTAAATCATTATTACACTATTAAAAATATTATGTCAGGCCAGGCGTGGTGTCTCACGCCTGTAATCCTAGCTCTCTGGGAGGCCAAGGCAGGTGGATTGCTCAAGGTCAGGAGTTCAAAACCAGCCTGAGCAAGAGCGAGACCCCGTCTCTACTGAAAATGGAAAGAAATTAATTGACCAACTAAAAATATATAGAAAAAAATTATCCGGGCATGGTGGCGCATGCCTGTAGTCCCAGATACTCGGGAGGCTGAGGCAGGAGGATTGCCTGAGCCCAGGAGTTTGAGGTTGCTGTGAGCTAGGCTGATGCCACGGCACTCTAGCCCAGGCAATGGAGTGAGACTGTGTCTCAAAAAAAATAAAAAAATATTATGTCATTTAAAACTATTTAAATGCCATCATTTCTCATCTTAGAAACCATAGTAGACAGTGATATTATCTCTCTTAGTATTCATCGCATTATATTTTGAGATCACCCATTTATGACTGCCTCCCTTTCTAGGTTATCATTTCCTCAGGGAAAAGGTTCCTTTCTTTTTCATCTTTGTAGTCCTAGTGTCTGGCACTACAAACTCAATAAATGGTGACTGTCAAAACCATTGTTTTTATAATGCTGCTCAGGAGACAGTCCAAATGCCCCAGAAGTGTTATGTTTCTAAAACTCATGGAATACTTTATCTTATATATTGTAAAGTATTTTATAATAAATTATTTACATGTAGCTGCAATTCTTTTTAAATATTTTATAACAATTAGTAAGTTTTCTCTCATTGATTTGCCAAATACTGTGATTAATTCCATTGTACTTACTGTCAGGTCTCATTTCAGCTAAATCTGTGTATCTAGTTTGATGTAGACAATTAACACATTAGTAGTTTTAAATACTATGTTAAACTCTGGTTGGTATCTTCAAAGTATATTTTACAAAGTTTTCTAGCAAATGTAGGTTCATTTGTCATTTGAAATTTTTATTTTATGTTTCCATAGTTTTATTTTTAACATATAATTCTTTATTCCAGGAATGCTAACAATTACAGATTTCATAAATATACTACATAGATACTATAAATCACCTATGGTAAGTGGCAGCAGTACTTAAACATCAGTAATGGAGCTGTATATGTCTGTGTATGTGCATAGGGGTGTGTGTGGGGGTGTGTGTGTGTGTTTTAAGATGCAGGGGCTTCATTTTTGGGTATGGGGTGGTGATGGCCGATTTTCCAAGTAATGTGCAAGGAACCTTAGTTTAAAACTACTAACCTGAGTAAACAGCTAGCTTTACCCTAAATCATTTATTTGAAGCTTGAAGAAGGTATTCTCAGGAAAGATAAAATGAAATAGTTCCTTTTATTCAGCTTTCAGAATCCCTTGGGTTAGCAGAATTCTGCATGCTTATTTATTACTTAGACATCTATAAGTTTCACTAGTTTTATGATATTTGACCTTCAACAGCATCGTGGGCATGTTAGTATTACAGATCTGCCTCAGACTGTAAAGGAAGGAGGCCCCAGCCCCGCTAAACTCTTTTGCCCACGGTGGCCGGGGAATGGCCTCTCCGGAAATGAGATTGCCACCAGGGCTCACCTCTATAGGCCTGTTGTGGTGGTAGAGCTTGATCGAGTTATCCTGGCAATTTTATAACAAGAACTATATACACTTTGTGATTTTAAAGAAGAGAAAAGCAATTAAAATTGAAGAAATTCAATATTGACATTTTTCTACTAATTAGGAAACGACAGCTACTAGTTAATCTTAGGGGCAGAACTCTCTGGTCCCTGGTGCAACAGTTCTGTAGGAACATAGTGTAAAAGCCACTTTTGTCCTTCATCTAACACTATGATTTCTGTGATTCTGCCTGCTTGGTTTTTTGTTTGTTCATCAGGATAAGAAAGGACAGAATTGTATAGTTTATTTAACTAGTACTATTTTGGGTATCTAAAAGGTATAGTTAATCTGATTAATACTGTTTTTATGTGTAATAGTATTGTCCAATAATTAAATTCCTACATAAAATACAAAAAATGGGTTTCTTTTTGATTGTTTGTTTGTTTGTTTTGAGACAAGGTCTCACTCCTCTGTTGTCCGGGATAGAGTTCAGTGGTGTCATCATAACTCATTACCACCTCCAACTCCTGGGCTCAAGCAATCTTCCTGCCTCAGCCTCCCGAGTAGCTGGAACTACTGATTTTTTTTTCTTTTCTATTTTTGGTAGAGATGGGGTCTCACTCTTGCTCAGGCTGGTCCCAAGCTCCTGGCCTCAAGCAATCTTCCTGCTTCAGCCTCCCAAAGTGCTAGGATTAAAGGCGTGAGTCACTGCACCCAGCCAAAAATAAATTTCTCCGTAAGACATATACTTAGAAGGAGATTTTCCCAAAGACTTTATAAATATTCTGTATTTATTCCACATGACATGTCAGATTTCTTAAATATTATCAGTGCAAGTGAATACTGGTTTTCCTTGGCCATATCTCTGCTTTTGGACTAGCAAAATCAGCACAAGTATGATTTTTAAGTGGATAGATTTTGAAGCCAGGCATGGTGTTGTGTGCCTATAGTTCCAGCTACTCAGGAGGCGAAGGAAGGAGCATTGCTTGAGCCCAGGAGTTTGAGGTTACAGTGAACTATGATGGGGCCACTGCTCTCCAGCCTGGGCAACAGAGCAAGGCCCTATAACTTAAAAAAAAAAAAGAAGAATCTCAGTGGTAATTTATTAAGTCAAAATTGCTATAAAGCAGTTTATGTCTAACTGCACAGCCCAAAGTTTTCTTAATACTTGAGGATTCATTTTTTTCTCCATATTTGACCTCATTTCTAATTATGAGCAGAAAATACTATTATGAAAGCTATATTTTCTATTGTTTTCCAAGTATTTATCCTATATTCTGTATGTTAACATTTGTAAATAAGAATTTTTCTTATTTACAGGTACAGATTTATGAATTAGAGGAACATAAGATTGAAACATGGAGGGGTAAGCAATATCGGGTGTTAAAAATCTTAATATCAGGGAAAAAATGTTATTCTTAGTATGTAAAAGTATGTTTTAATTTTGCAGATTTTCTGCTTAATAAAATGTTAATTAAAACATTCTATTTATATCTTAATGTCAGTAGTATGCCATGTTTCTATAAAGATTGTCCATTCTGTTTAATAGACATGTGTAGAGCAGCTATCCCATGCAAGGCCTTATCTTGGGGCTGGGAACATAAAGACGAATGGGTAAAGAAACCCACATCGCTGCCCTGGAGCCGTTTTCACTACCAAGTGTGACCCTCAAAATTTTGCCTTTGTTAGAAAATGCAGCAAAGGCATGCCTAACTTTAACAAAAGCAAGCATCTGTTATTTAAACTTAACCCTTTACAAATTATGGAGAAATTTAGGACACATGAACCTAGAAGCAGATGGTTTGGAACAAATAACATGGAAATAACTTTAAGACCATGTTCTTTTGTTTGTCACCTTCATTGAAATTCACCTCGTAAAATCATAATGCTCTTTTCTGCAGCAGAACCAGGTTTTAAATTTTCACTTCTCGATTGTGAGACACATCTTGGTGGACTGGGGGGGACCCCGTTGGTGGGAATCACTGAGGACCTAGTCTGTCTGCAATGGCAGAGCCTTTGTGGGGTGTTCAAGGAAAAGCTTGGATGGGAATGAAGGGACCAACCAAAGGAAAACTTTATTTTGAAATTGAGGAGTTTGGCTTTGCTATCTGTAATGTGCTTGGTAGAAGCACCCTTTGTACCTGGCTGTAAAATCGGAGCATCCCTTAGGCTTTTGGGGCCCTTTTAATTCTGTATGATCTAAAAGTTTCATTGAGTGATACATTTGATTTACTATGGCCTTATCAAGCCAAATAAATTAAGTCAAGGTGGGGTTCATATGGCCTATTATGAAGTGATTATATAACTTAACACCAAGACAGATCCTTCGTATCAAGTTCCACTGTACAAGTGCTATTAGACCAAGGTTCAAATATACGTAAATTTTGACATTACATGGTATTTGGTAGCAAAAATAATGCTGAGATATTTTCTTAGATGCCTTCTATATAGTAACCTCAGTAAAGCAAATTAATTTTAGTTGATATCTTTAGAAAAAATTTATATGCTAGAAAGATTCTCAAGATGCAGTGGGTTTTGAGCACTAATTTGGTAAGATAATACTTAAGAACATTTAAAGAGCAAAGTTTATTATAACTGAGTTTATCTTATAACTTATGAAAATTAGTTTTAGAGGATTTCATAAGTGCTTCATTTCTTGAGAGTAATATTAACTTGATAGCATTCTAGTGACCTCTGCTGGTATTGCTCTTTTGTCAGATTTCTTGATTTTTTTCCTGATTCTATAAGCATCTATTGTTACATTGTTTTTTAAAAATTTAATTTTTGTTGAAAAGCAACATCTTGAAAACAGTTATAGACAGTTGTTTAAAATAGCCATAACTGGCCAGGCGTAGTGACTCACGCCTGTAATCCTAGCACTCTGGGAGGCCTAGGCAGACAGATTGCTCGAGGTCAGGAGTTCCAAACCAGCCTGAGCAAGAGCGAGACCCCGTCTCTATTATAAATAGAAAGAAATTAGTTGGCCAACTGATATATATAGAAAAAATCAACCAGGCATGGTGGTGCATGCCTATTGTCCCAAGCCACTTGGGAGGCTGAGGCAGTAGGATCGCTTGAGCCCAGGAGTTTGAGGTTGCTGTGAGCTAGGCTGACGCCACGGCACTCACTCTAGCCTGGGCAACAAAGCGAGACTCTGTCTCAAAAATAAATAAATAAAAATAAAATAGCCATAACTGTAATTAACACAGTAGTTTTACCAAATTAAATTTCTTTTGATTTAGTTTTTTAATCCTCCTAATTATTATCTACAAACTGTAGGGTATTTGAATTTATGTAATAATCGCAAATAGCAAATATGTTACTAACTGCATATTTTCTTTCTATAAATACAGAGCTTTATTTACAAGAAACATTTAAGCCTTTAGTGAATATATCTCCAGATGCAAGGTAAACTTGTAGTTTTCTTCCTTTGAAAACATACGTTAAAATTTATCTGTTTTATTACCCTAATAGAAAGAAACAAACTTGTCCTTTAATCTAGATGGGGCCTGCCTCCTTAATTCCAAATACACTTAAATTTAGGGACAATAGGAATCACAGCCACTGTTGGTCCACAGGATTGATGATGGACTAGGAACATGGTCACAGTGAGCACTCTGGAAAATCCAGAGCACCTGCAGTAGAACCAGTCTAGGGAGCATGTCGAAATTGCAGGTTCCTGGGGCTTTACCCTGGACCTGCTAAATCAGTCTTTAAAGAGTAGTGCCTGGGGATATGCCTGTAAACACCGACTCCCCCAGCGATTCTAATCCACAATGGCATTTAGAAATGAGTATGCATCAAACATCAGTTCAGAGGGGGACAGGAGAATGAGCTGCCCTCTCTGCAGTCTTCTGGTATGTACTTTTGCATCCAAGCCATCTGGGATGGCTCTGATGCATTTCCACACTTGGATAAAAGCATGTTTAAAACTCAAGGCCACACTACAGAGAAAAACATGAAATATTTATTTTCATTGTTTTATTTCCAAGTCGTAACAAAAAGGTAGACCCACTGAGCCTTCTTACTGGCAGTCAAGGAGAGGCACCAAGTAGAACGGAAGTGCTGGCTCTACAGACTCTAGCTGGGCTGGCCCAGAGGCAGAGCCCAACAGCCCGGCTCCCCAGTGCTGGAGTCTGTCACTGCAGCTTTCACTGTGTTGCTAATGTTATTAGTATGTTAGCTTTTCTAAAGGTTTAGGTTTTGTCATCTTTCACATAAAATCACTAAGTGCACTATTTAAAAATTCCTCTTCTAGAGATTTGTAGCTTGCACTCATATTTGAGATATATTAACACAGATTGTGAAAAATTAAAAAATTTGCTGAGAATCCCCAATTTAGAACTTTCCCAAAATACTGTTATTATTGTAACATAAAAACATTGAAAAAGCTTTCAGGTAGGGGTGGTCCAGAGTTTTCTGATCTTTCTTTGAAGCCTCCTAACAACTTTAATGGCTTTTCCTGCAGCCTCTTCGATGCTGTATACTCGTTGATCAAAAATAAAATCCACAGATTGCCAGTTATTGACCCTATCAGTGGGAATGCACTTTATATACTTACCCACAAAAGAATCCTCAAGTTCCTCCAGCTTTTTGTAAGTAGTTTTTAGTGTTTCTAAAGACATAGTTGCATTTTCTTTAACTAATTTAGTTCAAGTAAATTGGCTCCTGTTACCTTCAATAGAGAAAATTGGTAGTTTTGAGATCTCCCTTCTAAGCTTCAGTTTCTCAACTTACTACTGTTTGAATTATACATTCTCAAAGTTGATTCCAATTAAAAAACAATCACCTTTCAGTGCAAGTATCAATTATAAAAACATTTGACATTCTCTATTTGAATTGAAACATTTTAGGGCCTAACATATGAGGAGAACTAAAGCAATTTGCAAGTCAGTCTAATTAAGGACTGCTATACAGAACAAATTGAGCTGATATCTAGAGCAAAAATTGCTTTATGATGCTATTATTGGTGTTATGGTTTTAGAAACATGTTCAAAAAAATACTGTCCCCAAGATTATTTTAATAAACTGCAGGCAGCAGTGGCAGAAAAACCCAGAGCAAATAAAATTTTGGCAAGAGAATACCATGTTGGTCCAAATTAGGCCTGTATTATCTATAGGTTTCCTCAACTGCTTTCAGAATGAGCTGGTTTCATAATCACCCAAAACTTAGAACCTCTTTGGTCGGCAACATTAAAAGAGGCTTAGAAAGAATAGGGAGTTTCTGAGAAGGTTTTTATGTTTTCCTTTTAATTATATGCACTGAATTTGAGGTTTTAAATAATCAGTCACATAGAAACAGTAGAGGAGGCGTTACTGGTTCTGAAGAGGTAATTTGAAGAGTGGTTTTTAAAAGAACGTAACATATTAAAAATCAACTTCCGATTAGGTCCCCCATTTTCTTCTCCACAGCTCGGCATCCGTAACTAAACAGCATCCCAGCACAGCGGGAGGCAGCCCTTTTGCTGACAGGCACAGAGGGTTTAGTGATTGAGAGAGAGAGACCTTGTCGATCAAACCAGTCCTGTATTTTAATAGTTTACTTATGTAGGCAGACAGCACAACATGGTTAAGTAAATGCTAAGAAAGAAGGTAGGAAAGAGAAGAGTAATTTACCGAAAAAAAAAAGGAATTAAAGATGCATCAGTACTGATATCAGACTTGACATCTGGGAATGCGATAGCTTTAGTAGTTGAGCTTTAATAGAAACAGAGGGGCTGGGTGGGTTGTGTGTTCAGGGCCCAACTGTGCCAGGCTTGTAGCTCTCATTTAGTCTTTAGAGTAATCATCTTAAAGTGATATTAATCATGAGAGCTGATTACCACCGTGTGGGGCAGTATTCTCAGCACTTTACATTATCTCATCCTCGCTTGTCGGGTATTTGTATTAATCCTATTTCATAAGCAATGCAGCTAAGCCAGCGTAAGGAACTTTGCCAGGGTTAGTGGCTGATAAGTGGTAGAGCCAGCGTCTAAGCCAAGCATTCCGATTCTGCGGCCACGCTAGCCTTGATGCATTCATCCATCCACTAGCCCTGTGAGGCAGGCATTTTATCTCCCTGTGCACACAAGGAGCCTGGCTCAGAAACGTGCCAAAGTCATGCCAATAGTAAGCGGTAGATTTCAAGCCCAGGAGTCTCTCTGACTCCCCAACCCAGACCATTTTTGCTAGCATGCTACCGCAGAAGAGGGATTCAGAGTGTGAGATCGATCCTTCTCAGAGCTACTTTAGGTTCTTCTCTTCTATAAAAAGTAGAGGAAATTGCCTCTGCCTGGTACTGCCTTATATTTGGGCCAATATGGTAATTAGAATCATGCTACCAGAATATTCAGCTAGAGGTTTTCAGATACAAATATAGAATTTAAATAAAGAAATTTCAGAGCCTGATTTTTACTGAATTATGACATCATTTTCTGAGAAAAAGTAGCATTACCCATCCAGACATTTGCAAATTAGCCTAATCAGATCGTATACAACGGGGAATTATCCTATATTGAGATGGACTAGATGACCTAATAGGTCTTTCTTTTTTTCTCTAAATTTCTAGGATTCTCATGATTTGAATATTGATGAACTCTTTGACTTGAACATTTTGTTTCTTCTAATTGTTCATCTTTTCCTGATAATTATAAGGTACACCAGGAGGATGGAATCAACTATACCCTTTATAAAAGGTGGATTTTTGAAACCGTAGACCTTATTTTGTTATAGTCAAACATGATCCTAGACTTTCTCTTCTGACTTATCCCTCCTCCTTTAAAACAGCCCATGGAAAAAAAAAGTTAATTTTTAAAGATTCTTTTAATTCTGTTCAGCTGGCTTGTTCTTTGTTCCTAGTAGACAAAAATTGGAGTCCTCCAAGGAGAATTCATAATGTAGAGGTGGGTGGTGTGAGGACTAGCTTAGTAGCTGCTCAGACAGCCACCATCAAATGCTGTGGATTTGGAAATGTGTGAGTTCTTAATAAATATTACTTAATGCTGACAGCAGGACAGGAATTTAATATGAATAATTAAGAATAAAGGATTCAATTCTTGGTGGCTTACAGGTCTTAATTTCTCAAATAGACCTGTTGTTCCCTTCTTCTATCCATGTTTTTAGTGAGTGAAGAGAAGGAAAAAATGTTCCAATGTTAACGCTTTGCAATATTTTACTAAGTAGCTATATAAGTATAGACGTACAAACTGGTTTGAACAAAAGATACAATTCTTATATGTAATTTTTTTTCATATTAATTCAGACATCCAGGTAGAGTGTTAGAAAAGACTAACTTTAATTTGTTGGACATAGTTTTTCATTCAAATCGGGACATTTGAACACTCAAAGGCTATGCTTTGGTTCTAGAGCATTTGCATTTCTCTTCCTGCTTAGATGTCTGATATGCCAAAGCCTGCCTTCATGAAGCAGAACCTGGATGAGCTTGGGATTGGGACGTACCACAACATTGCCTTCATCCATCCGGACACTCCCATCATCAAAGCCTTGAATATATTCGTGGAGAGACGAATATCAGCGTTGCCTGTTGTGGATGAGTCAGGTTTGTGTGTTTGGCCAGTTGAACAGAAACAGCTGTTTATCTCAGGGTAAAATTACTGTGAAATGACCTAGCATATCAGACTGGGGGGAGGGATGAAAATTTAGATACGGTGAATAAATTCAGCACCAAGGAGCACAGGATAATAAGAATTTTAAACTGGTTTATGTTCATATTTCTATTAAGATATGATTTCATGTCCATTTAAAAGTAGATAAGGTTATCTATCAGTGTTTAATCCTTAGGAATTACCTAGTTAAAACTGATTTTAAATGAGTTCTTTTGTTCCTAAGTCATTTTTCTAATATATGTTTTTATTTTTAGGAAAAGTTGTAGATATTTATTCCAAATTTGATGTAATTGTAAGTATTTCTAATTTTGTTAAACTTGTCATCTAGAATGCATTTTGAAATGTATTCATTTAATCTGCTTCTATATTTTTCTCGCTTCCTAACTTAATAACTCCTAACATTTTTTGAGTCTGAGGATATCAGAGAATTTCATAGACTCTTCATGGTAATTATAGTTTTACTGTTCATTGCTTTAGCAATGACTTATATATCAGCAGTTTATAATTCTTTGTCTTTTCAATATATACCTGTTTTATCCATCACAACAGTATGTGTGTATATTTTAAATCATCGTATTTCTATGTAGTTGACTCTTTATTCTGCCCAGAGGCTTGTCTTGGTGCACACAGGAATTCATGGCTCCTGTGTCACAAGCACCCCATTCTTGCAGATGGGGAACGACTGTTCTAAAGAGGAAAAGGGAACAGATTCTTTGGTAGCCCCAAATGTGCGCTTCATTTCCTGCCACAATATTGATGACTCCCAGTTGGCTTTTGCAGCTGACTCAAACCCTTTGGTTCTTCCTATTCTGTTTAACATAATAGACACCAAGAAATATGTTTAGGGGAATTTTGGTGGAGTGGGACCCTGTAAAATTAATCAGAGCCCTGAGAAGCCATGTGGATCTGTGGGGCTCATCAGGCCTGTTCTTCCTCTGTGGCTGCTTGATCCCAGCGGGTCCCCCAAAGCCTTCCCAGCAAAACCTTGTTCCCTGGGAAAGTCAGTTGATGCAGGTTCTGCAGCCCCGTGGCCCTTGTCACCTTTTACATGTTTAGTCCATACCTCCAAAGATTTTATTCACATACGGTATGGCGCATTAGAGGTCGAGGATGGGGGAAGCTTGGGCAGGATAAGCTGTCAGGATTTAACACTGTAGTTTCGTATGTAAGGTACACCCTGTGATATGAAACCTTTCATTATGATTGCTAAGACAACAGCATAGCAAGTCTGATGGCATGTTCTGAGCTGAAATGAGAGAACTTGTGATGTCACGGTGGTACTAACTCAAGATAAACATTAAAGTCTTCAAAAATCAGGTTGTCTTAAGCTTACTAATTTTGGTCAGCCACATGAACTGAAATGAAAGGATGTAACTTATTCAGTCACTTTGTTACAGAATCTTGCTGCTGAGAAAACGTACAATAACCTGGACATCACGGTGACCCAGGCCCTTCAGCACCGTTCACAGTATTTTGAAGGTGTCGTGAAGTGCAATAAGCTGGAAATACTGGAGGCCATCGTGGACAGGATAGTGAGAGCCGAGGTGAGAAGGCTTTCTTCCCAGGTCCTGCCCCCAGTCACACTGCGGCTGCCCCTCGGGGAATAGTGGCTCGGAAGTTGGGGTCGCAGGAAAGGCCCCGCGAGGCAGCTGCACGTCAGTCGGGCAGCGTTCTGTCCCTGTCCCAGAACCTGGCACGCTTCTCGGCACACTGTAGTAGGTGATCTCTAAAGGTTAGTTGAGTTTAGTTGAATTTATAAGTCCTGCTATCCTAGTTGAATCAAATACACTGGTAAGATACATTCGTGGTTTAAAAAATATACCCTTGAGAAAACAAAAGCTGTTCTAGAAGCTTTTAAGTTCCATTAGAACTTTGAATTCAAAGTTAAAAATGTGTAATGTGTATGATCTTAAAGTGAGTGATAAATCAGTAAAATAAAGCTTAATTTTAAGTTTTCTAATTTTCTCTCTTCCCGCCAGTGTCTCTCCCTCTCTCCTGATTTAGAGAAATAGCAACTGGCCTAGTAACTCTCCATCTCCCACTCAGATGCCCTTATGCTTCCCTGCTTATAGTTCAGGTTTACCTCGTAGACACCCTAGATAATAGACGAGAGAGATCATTTTATGGCATGTCTAATTCAGTAAACCTTTTCCCAAAATCACTTCTTTCCTTTCTTGTTAGACTGGAATAGTAATGTTATCTGTCCCCAAAACATGGCCGTCCCTTTCAAGAGCCATTGTTAGTGGAAATCTACTTAGCCCTCCTTTAATTCCATGTTCAGGAATTCCGCCCCACGCTGGCATTGTCCGCGTTAACTCCCCTAGCCTCAGCTGTCATGGCTTTAAACACGTTTAACATGTTCCACTGGAATCTTTCCCTTTTTCTACTTGTATTTAATATCCATCACTACTTGTTTTCCAAAGGGTTTTTTTTTTTTTTTTTTTTTTGAGACAGAGTCTCACTTTGTTGCCCAGGCTAGAGTGAGTGCCATGGCGTCAGCCTAGCTCACAGCAACCTCAAACTCCTGGCTCAAGCAATCCTCCTGCCTCAGCCTCCCAAGTAGCTGGGACTACAGGCATGCGCCACCATGCCCGGCTAACTTTTTTTTTGTATATATATTAGTTGGCCAATTAATTTCTTTCTATTTATAGTAGAGACAGGGTCTCGCTCTTGCTCAGGCTGGTTTTGAACTCCTGACCTCGAGCAATCCGCCCGCCTCGGCCTCCCAGAGAGCTAGGATTACAGGCGTGAGCCACCGCGCCCGGCCTTCCAAAGGGTTTTAATTGACTTAGGAATACATCTTGACTTTTTCCCTCATCAAAACTTTGACAAGATGACTCCTCCCAGAGCAACAAAAGATAGTTTTTAGGTTTAATATAGTTAGAAGGGTATTCAGTATCAGTAAGGGGTCCATTTATTGATATGACATAAACATGGCACTAACTTTTAGGTACCTCTGACTGGGAATGTTTGTAAGCTTAGACTCAACAACAGATGACAGAATATTTTTGATCATTTCTATCTGGTAGAATTATTAATTCTCTGGGTGAGATGGTCTCCCTTTGGTCTTCAGTAGTTCAAAAGATAGTTAATTATTATCATTGGAATTTATCTTATTATCATTGAATATTAACAAAATGTATAGAATATAAGGCATTCTCTGATCCTAGATGTAAACCATCATTTTAATTTACAATTATAGTTAATGTGTTGTGTTAGATCACAGGATTATTGAGGAATCTAAAAGGTTTTTTAGAGAAACTTTTAAAAGAAATTTATGTGGACCAACAGGAGAAGATGACCAAGAGATTTGGGTGTTTTGGGGTGGGGAGGTTGTATTTTTTTGTTTGTTTGTTTGTTTGTTTGTTTTTAACCTAAAGCAAGCCATGATCATCACCAACACAGTATCATTAGAGACAAAATATAAAAAAGAATTTCCCTCTTTCCATCTCCTTCCTGTGTCCCCATTTTCCACTGGGGGTGTGACTATTCAGCACAGAGAGCGTCTCCCAGGTAACCAGCTGGCATGTGGTGGCCACGGGCCTGAGTTCTAAAGCGTTTGAGTCGGCTCAGTCCTGTCCCGAGGCAGGGACGCCTTGTTACAGTGATGCCTCAGAATGTTCCGCCTTCATTTAGGAAAGATTTTAGAGTAGAAAACTGGAGATGAATATAATCTATTTCACTTTATTATAGTTCATTTGTCCACTTGAATATCTTTCTTAATATATGAACTTCATAGAGAAAAGACATGAGAGAAAATGAACACTCTAAGAGCAGTTTCCATAATCATTGGGACTTGTTTCCCATATCAAACAGGTATCTGATAGTTATTAGAAACTGAGATATACTTTAACAAGTTACAACTGTTTTGGTTAAGAAACTATTGTATGCCGGGCGCGGTGGCTCATGCCTGTAATCCCAGCACTTTGGGAGGCTGAGGTGGGAGGATCACTTGAGCCCAGGAGTTTAAGACCTGTCTGGGCAACATAGCGACCTCGTCTCTACAAAAAAATTTTTTTGATTAGCCAGGCATGGTGGCACACACCGGTAGCACCAGCTACTCGGGAGGCTGAAGCAGGAAGACTGTTTGAGCCCAGGAGTTTGAGGTTGCCGTGAGCTAGGATCGCACTACTGCACTCCAGCCTGGTGACAGAGTGAGACCCTGTCTCCAAAAAGTATTTAAAAAATTTTTTTTTAATTTCAAAGAATATTATAGCTACATTTTACTCTGTGCTTTGAGCTGAGCGGTCAAGCAAACCAGCACTGCATTTTAACATCAGGGCCAGAGACCTTCGTGTGGCTCCATCCACTGTTGCTGTCCCTCATCTGTGGGACGTCTCCATCGTACTTACGCATGACTTCTGACGTCGTAAGTGCTTAGGGATTCCTAAGTACATGAATGACATTTTTTCCAGTGGCCATTTGAACACTTATTGTTTTTACTTTCACATGTGACTTGCTTTTCTCTTCTCTGCAGGTCCATCGGCTGGTGGTGGTAAATGAGGCAGATAGTATTGTGGGCATTATCTCCCTGTCGGACATTCTGCAAGCCCTGATACTCACGCCAGCAGGTAAAAAAAAAAAAGGAGGGGGGGGCGCTGATTTCTGACCCATGCTGGAGTTGTCTGGGAGGTAGTACCATTAAGTGCGGCATTTAAATCGTCATTTCTCCACCGCCCATCTACAAATCAAGGCTCTGTGTGCAATACTTTGTAAACCATTTCCATTTTCTTTTCAGTTTTGAAGTTTTAATGTTGGGTGGGAAGAGTTTATAGATAAAGTATTCTGATGTGGGAGCAACCTGGCAGTGCCTAAATGGTGGGGGACCCGTGCCCGTAACCCTTCCCATCAAAGAGTTAAGATCTCTTCAGTTTTGCTTTATTGGAAGACTACCAGCTGGAATACACAGAGGGAAATTCTTTAGGTTCTAACTATTTATTAAAGCCATCATCTTTCTTAAAACATTCATCTTTCTTGTTTTTGTTTTGTTTTGTTTTTGAGTATATAAAACAAAATACCTTAACACAAACTTTACTCCATCAATATTGCATGGAAATTACATTAAATACCAGATGGAGCTGTGGCTAACCTCATCTCCTGCCAGATTCACTGTGAGCACACTCTCAGGATTCCAGAGGGTGGGACAGTGAGGAGCTGGCCCTTCTCTAACGTAAGAAGTGGCCCCAGTGTTCTTACACTGCCAGCTTTGCCTGCCTGCGTTCTTTCCTCCTCTTCCTCCCATTCCCCCACCTTCCTAGCCCCGATCAAATAGGAGCGACCCAGCCTTTGGCAGGGCCACAGGACCAAGATGTGAGACTAAGTGGCATGTCCTTTGAACTCTCAGGAGTCAAATATTAAGTGATGTGTGTACTGCAGTATTGATTTTTCTTCTCTAGTTCAGAAATCAAATTCAGCTAAGACTGGTTTTTAAGTTTATAATTAGTCTATAACCTAAAGATAACCACACTAAAGAAACCGTCACTACCTGCAAGAAAAATGTCTTATTCATTAAACAAGAATACTGAGAGATTCCAGTAGAACCATGATTTTCACAGGTGGTCCTCAAAAATGTTCGTTTTGGGGCCCCATCCCCACATCTACCAGATAGGAAATTCTAGAGATGGGGCCTGATGCAGTCATGTCCAACTTCAAGAGTCAAAGAACTTGAAACTCACAATAGTCTTTTTTTTTTTTTTTTTTTTTTTTTGAGACAAGGTCTCACTCTGTTGCCCAGGCTAGAGTGCCATGGTGTTAGCCTAGCTCACAGCAACCTCCAACTCCTGGGCTCAAGCAATCCTCCTGCCTCAGCCTCCCAAGTAGCTGGGACTACAGGCATGTGCTACCATGCATGGCTAATGTTTTCTATATATTTTTAGCTGTCCAAGTAATTCTTTCTATTTTTTAGTAGAGACGGGGTCTTGCTCTTGCTCAGGCTGGTCTCAAACTCTTGAGCTCAAATGATCCCTCCACTTCGGCCTCATAGAGTACTAGGATTACAGGCATGAGCCACCACGCCTGGCCTCACAATAGTCTTTATGATCATGGAATATTAACTAAATCAATGTGAGACTGTTGGTCTCATTATTTGTATACCCTAAAACTGGAAATAATCCAAATATATTTCAAAAGAAGGATGAATAAATTGTGTATATTCCTTCAATGGAATACAGCATTGAAAATGAACAGTCTAACTGTAGTCAACAGTGGAGGAATCTCACAACCATCTTGAGCAAAGGAAGGCAAATTAACCTATACCCTGTGATTACATTATATATTTCTAAGAGGCATAACTATACAGCACCTTCCTGCAATTAGAAAAAGCCTTTTCCCTGGGCAGATTTATCCCCACAGGGATATAACTTGGCACCTTCAGCAAAAGATACCCTTTTCCAGGTGGCCACCCATGGATAAGGCACACAGTTTGCCCAGCTAAGTCAGGCTGAATTTCAGCTCTCGTCTGTCCCTTTGGCCAAGATTCTTGGAGCATTACAAACTCAGAATAAACAAGTCACATGAATTGTCCTCTCTTGCCTTGGTGTTTCAATCCATGAGAATGAGAATGTTGGGCTGAATGAGTTTGAATTTCCGTCCCAATTTGGTATTTCAAAAACTCTAAGTCATTGCAACGTTCCTCCTGTCTTTTGGTACAGGGAAGAATCTATTTCCAGCTGGAGTTTGGAATGTTTGTTAGACATCATGTCATAAAGATAGGGTAGCTGGATTGGAATTCTTTATGATACGGTGTATATAACACTATTTGTTAAGGAAAACGTTTTGCGTTCCTCATAACTGGACTACTGGTGAACATTTGGAGTAGAATTCACTGGGAACTCGGGGAAGGCCTGCATCTGATCTGCAGTGGCTGGCAGGCGTACACGTGCTCAGAGACGGCATGACTCGAGCAGCCAGCAAGGAGGCCAGCACTGTTAGTCTAAGTCTGGTTCTGCCACCTGAGAGCTGTCAGCGTGTGGACAAGTTACTTTACCTCGTTTAGCCCAGTTTCTTCAACTACAGAATGAGCAGGCTGATGAAGGCCCGTCTCTCCCTCCTAAGATACTGTAACTAGATGAAATGAAAAACTTGAGCAAAAGCTATTTGTGCACAGTAAGGCACTGTGCCCAGGATAAGCACTGTTCGATGCATATTTATGGAATAATCAGTGAGAGGCACTTTTTAAATAGAAATGTCCACTATCATGTGATTAAAAGGTGCTGGTGGTGATTATTTTCACCAGATGATGGCCACAATTCCCCCACTAAGGATATTGGTTCAATACAATAACATTTTCTCTTTTTCAAAAAGCTTTCAGCAATAGTTCATTATCAAATTCAGACTGTCCAAATGAACTTAAGTGTCTACACAGGCATCCAATGAGTAAGCAATCTCATGATAGTAGCTACGACTTTTTAGCCACTTACTCTAATAGATCGTTAACCTCTTTGAAAAGTCTAATGTCTGTTGAAAAAACTGGGAGAGAAACTACTATAATGAGAAAAACAGTAGCTCTTCTTCCAAATCCATTTTGAAATATCCTGGCCAAATACTTGTAGGTATTATGTGAAATTATCCTTAGAAATGTTAAAGTGCTTTCTTTTTATATATATTTTTTATAAATGTGCACAACTGAAATACTTTGTACCTTCTCCCAAACATACTTACCTATTTCTTTTCGTTTTTTTTTTTTTTTTTTTTTTTTTTTTTTTTTTTTTTGTGCCATGGCATCAGCCTACCTCACAGCAGCCTCAAAGTCTTGGGCTCAAGCAATCCTCTGCCTCAGGCTCCTGAGTATCTGGGACTACAGGCATGCGCCACCATGCCCAGCTATTTTTTTTTTTTTTTTTTAGACAGAGTCTCACTTTGTTGCCCAGGCTAGAGTGAGTGCCGTGGTGTCAGCCTAGCTCACAGCAACCTCAAACTCTTGGGCTCAAGCAATCCTGCTGACTCAGCCTCCTGAGTAGCTGGGACTACAGGCATGCGTCACCATGCCCGGCTAATTTTTTGTATATATTTTTAGTTGGTCGATTAATTTTTTTCTATTTTTGGTAGAGACGGGGTCTCGTTCAGGCTGGTTTGGAACTCCTGACCTCGAGCAATCCGCCCACCTCAGCCTCACAGAGTGCTAGGATTACAGGCGTGTGTGAGCCACCTTGCCCGGCCCCAGCTAATTTTTTATATGTATATTTTTAGTTATCCAGATGATTTCTTTCTATTTTAGTAGAAACGGGGGTCTCAGTCTTGCTCAGGCTGGTCTCGAACTCCTGGCCTTGAGCGATCCTCCCACCTCGGCCTCCCAGGGTGCTAGGATTACAGGGGTGAGCCACCATGCCAGGCTCTTTTTAAATTTTTTTAGCAGTGGAACCCTTTTTTTCCTCTTCAAATTGAATCTTGCATATTTAGGATGTAGATCAGGACTGCAGGCCCGGTGGGTGGGAGTTGGGGCCTGGGGCCACCTGCCCTTCCCACTTCTCCCCCTTCCAAAGCCTCTGGGTCATCCTCCCAAGGCACTGCCGGGCACAGGTAGAAACCACTCCTGCAGAGAGCCCTGCCGTTAGCGTGAGCTTTGAAACTCTCGTTTTCCACCCACTGACAGGTGCCAAACAAAAGGAGACGGAAACAGAATGACCACCGTGAATGTAGACGCCCTCATAGGAGAACTTGAACAAAGTTTCTGGGTCACGTTTTGCCTCATGAACACTGGCTGCAATAGAAGAGAGTAAAATGGTTAAGAATGTATATCGGGGTTTAATGATGGGTATTTTTTCCAGTGATGTTAAAACTAAACTTAAAAAAGAAAGATTTTATGTGCTTGAATATTCAGGCTTGCATTAAAAGACTGTTTTCAGACCTTTGTCTGAATTATTTTAAATGCTGTATGTCATTAAAGTGCACTGTGTCCTGAAATTTTTATTATTTTTCATTTCGAAGAATTCACTGGTGTGGGACAGGTGGTGTGACATAAGGTGGGCGCACGGCGTGCTCGGATCTCAGTGCCTTATGTCCGGGGACAGCGATACGCCGTCACCGCCCGCCCCAGCTGGAGCGCACACGTGCGGACCGCGCCGAGCTCGGATGTGGACGTCTTTGAACCTTTTACCAAATCAGTTTGTTTTTATTAGATTTGTCAAAAAGCCGTCATTTGAATATAAGTAATTACTTTTAAAACTTTAACGACACTTTTATGTTTAAGTGTTCTGTTCTAGGCTACCATGTAAACAGGGCTGCTTTACGACAGCTTTATTTATTTTTACGTTCATGCAATTTTTTACACATCTTTTGGTGGGTGAACTTCACCGGATCCATTAATAAACTCTTGGTTGTTATTTTAAAATGGCAGATTTCTCACTACTTAAGTTTGGATCTGGAAAGGATATGATTTCTAAAATAGCCACTGTTGGGTTTTAAAAGCGGAGGTTTCTGAGAACTTGTGGGGAGACAGGCTGTGGTCAGGAGGAAGCCAAGTGCCGGGAAGATCTCTATTTTTTTCTTGTGTATTGAAATGTAAAATCATGATGTTTGTATGATTGCTGATGCGATTGTTTTTGTAAATTTTATTGTGGCATATACAGTATTGTCATATGGTTGAAGAGAAACAATGTTTCTTGATGTAAGTGCTCTGAAAATGTCGACACTGTATATATATATATGAGGATAGTTTGATTTTTGTTCTTTGGGTTTTTTTTTTTCAGATTGAAAAATTAAAATAAATCCTACTATCTACCATTGTGTTAAAGAAGTTCTTTAAAATACCATATAGTTTATAGCGTGCACTAAAACCCTACATGCAGTCTTCCACGTAGATATTTCTCCCCGTATAAAGGAGCACACAAATTCTCATCTCCTTTTTTTTTTATATATCATCAGAATGAAAACCTTAATTCATAAACTTTTTATCTCTCCAGTATTAAACAGGAACATATTTTACTAAAGCTTGCCACAATTTTCTTGTGCTGAGGTGTCAATTTCTTCATTTCCCAGCAGGTCAAGTATGAGAGAGAGAACGTGTGTATGCGTTTCACCCTAGAAACAATAGTGGTTGTGATTTCAGTTAATAGTAATATTTGAGAGAAAGGAAAAAAGTCACAAAGCTGCTAAAACACAATTTTGAAAATCACAGAATCAATCTGCTCCTTGTTTGTGTACCCACACATGTATGTACACAGACTACATACATGTTAGGTGTAAGGGTGATGTGGCATATATATAGGTACAGCCATGTACCAGGCGAGAGAGTGAGACTCTGTCTCAAAAAAAAAAAAGTAGACATGTATTAGCGTTCTCTGTTTCCACGAGGTGCACATATGTTCAGCAGGTCTCCGGTCTCCCCTGAGCGCACTTCTGCAAGGTTTTTGAGTTGTGTGGCCAGGCACACCCAGGCTTGGCTCTGGAGAAGCCGCCTCTCACTGTTAGACTGCACAAAGGCCTGTTGTCCTGTTTCCTTAGCATTTGTTCCTAGCAAGTGATGAAGACTTGGTTGTGCTAAATGTGCTTCTCAGTGCCTTCCTAAGAGTAAGGAAAAGGGGCACTTAAAGAAGGCCACGCCTAATTAAAGGCCACGTATTGGTTAATATTTATTGAAGGCAACAGTCCTAAATGGTTCTAGGTATAGAAACCCACTTTAGAAATGCTTGTTGGGTAAGGGAGCCCCAGAACCTGTACCGACTCATTGGGAGAAGCCAGCAGGTGCCCTCCGCAGGGCCCCCGGCCACAGTGAGGAGGAGCTGAGGGCGCTTCAGAGCACTGTTGCGAGCACCAGGTGGGTGAGAAATAAAAGTGGAGGCCTGTCAGAAACACCACGTCTGTTACAAAAATAGAGGACATTCATTCTGTTTAGTGTTCTGATCTCTAGGAGGTTACAATACTTACTGTACTGATAATATCTCATGACATTTTCTTAGAGAAAGATTTGCACAAGCAGTCAGTCTTCTAAACTGGTGGGCCCCAGCTAGGGGAGAGTCTGTGCTCCAGGGACATCTGGCAATGTGGAGACAGTTTGGGTTGTCAGGCCCCGGGCTGGGGCAAGGGAGTGTGTGTGTGCTTCAGGCATTTGGGGGTTGCCGCGTGGCACCAGGGATGCTGCTAAGCGTCCCACCCACGGGACAGCCCCTATAGCAAAGGCTTGTGCAAACCAAGACGTCAAAACCCTGCCCTAAACAATTAGAATCTTCTGGGTATTTTGGTTATATTTGTTATTTCCTGAGTCCACCTGTCTTTGGAAGAGAAGCTTAGCAGGCAGCCTTTCTGGGAAAAGGGAAGATGGAAATAATCCACAGCGGAATTCCTTAGGTCCATATGACCCTTTGTCAAGATTTTCTTATTAGCATTCGCACCAAAAAGGGAACTTTGCGTAATAGGGCTCTAAGGAGAAAATTCCTACCCATAGGGAAATACTTGGAAAGTAAGTTTTACTCAGTTATGTTACTTCTATAAGGAAACAGACTCCAAAATTATTTTTCACAAAAAGTCACCTGCAAAGCTGGCCTAGTTACAAGTCTACATTATACTTAAAGCACATTCGCCTGGAACCTCTAAAATTCCCTCTCATTGTGGTTACCTTAAACACATTGCAGGAAAATTTGGAGTCTGCCTAAGCAAGGGCATAGTAAAATAATGGGTGGGACCTTTGTCACTCGGCTCTCAAAGCATACTGGGGTTCCGCAGGGAGGTCTGGAAAAGAATCAGGTACCCACTGCTCCCCAGACGGCTCTGCACGTGGAATACTGCCGCCTTCTGCCTAAAGTCGCTGAAGCCCTGCTGGGATTTCAAGTCCCATGTTTTCCCTTCCTGGGAAACCTGCAACGCAACAACATGATTTCCTGCTCATCGGGGTGCCTAGCCCCGGGCACCCCCACTGTCCACAAACAAGCCCCCCTAGAGCCAGAGCCCCTTGTGGTACCCTTGGTCGCTCACCTGTCCCTACTTGCCTCCGTTAGCCACTGACCGGCCCCTTGTGCTCCCCGGTGACCCGTGGCAGAGCAGCGTGGCACCAAGGCCACCGAGAAGCAGGTGAACACCTGTCACCTCCCACGGCCTCTCGCGCTCTCTGCGCCCAGGCCCGGCTCCCCCACCCCCAACCCAGCACCCGGTCGCAGAACACGTGCTCGTTCTCAGGACGCCAGTCGAGTCCCCCACACACGGTCGGGGTTGTTGCTTGTTTGCCAGGAGATGTCGCCTAAACCTCCAGGCGTCTGCTTCCCGGAGAACTCTGAGGAGCAGGCGGCACCAGGCCCACCCCGCCCCCGGCCGCCCCTGGCGTGGGCAGGTGCCGTCCTTGCCCAGCGGCCACCGGGCTCTTTCCCGCCCCGTCCCACCCGGCCCTGCGGGCTCTGCGGCTGCCCAGTGCGAGGCCGCGGGCGCTCGCGGCACGTGGCTAAGGACGGCCTCGCTCCTCCCGCGTCCTGCTTCGGAACGGCCGGCGCGGGGCCTGCGGGAATAAGAGCCCGGAACAAGGCCCGGAGCACGCGCCGCGCTCCTGCCGGCACCGCGCCCGCCGAGGCCCCCAGCGCCGTGCACGCGGCCTCTGCGCCGGCGGGGAGGGGACAGGGTGGCTCTCGGCGGAACCCCGCCACCTCCGCCGCTGCGCACCGGCCGGCCTGTCGCTGCCCACCGGCCCCGGGCACTCGCCCCGCGCGCCTCCCCGCCTCGCCCGGGCAGAGCGGCGGAGGCCGCGGGAGAGGGACGAACGCCCGCTCCCCAGCGCGCTCTCGCTGGGAGCCCTGAAAGGCGTCGCTCCCACCCCGGGTCCCCGGCGAGACCGCGTGCCCACACCGGAGCCCAGTCGCTTGCTGCTCAGAAACCGTCGAGGCCCCGCTGCCTGCAGAGGCCATTCCGGCCTCCAGGAGGCCGCGAGCGCCCTGCCCCGCCTGCGACAGCCGCTCCCGTCTGCAGGCCTGCGGGGGAAAGTCCCTCTGCCAGGCGCTGCAGTGACACCGCCCACGCAGCGGTTGCGCGCCTCCTTCCTCTGTGCCCCCGGACCCGCAGCACACCCAGGCACGTGCCCCGTGCCCCGCGGACCCGCAACACACCCAGGCCTGTGCCCCGTGCCCCCCGGACCCGCAGCACACCCGGGCACGTGCCCCGTGCCCCGCGGACCCGCAACACACCCGGGCCCGGGCCCCGTGCCCCCCGGACCCGCAGCACACCCGGGCACGTGCCCCGTGCCCCCCGGACCCCCATCATACCCGGGCACGTGCCCCGTGCCCCCCGGACCCGCAGCACACCCGGGCCCGGGCCCCGTGCCCCCCGGACCCGCAGCACACCCGGGCCCGGGCCCCGTGCCCCCCGGACCCGCAGCACACCCGGGCCCGGGCCCCGTGCCCCCCGGACCCGCAGCACACCCGGGCCCGGGCCCCGTGCCCCCCGGACCCGCAGCACACCCGGGCCCGTGCCCCGTGCCCCCCGGACCCGCAGCACACCCGGGCCCGGGCCCCGTGCCCCCCGGACCCGCAGCACACCCAGGTACGTGTCACAGCCCCTTCCCACCCGAGCTTCCTGGCGGGCGCAGCGGTGCGGTGCAGAGACCTGCTGGCCTCCGGAGGCGAGGGTTTGGGCACTGCCAGCCACTGCGGGGAAACTCTACCTTGCTGAGCTGGGTTTTCTCACAGGAAAGCTGTTGGGAGGGACAGATATAAGAGAACGTGCGCGCGCGCGCGTGCATACTGTTTGTTTAAGTAAGGGCGCTTCATAAACTCTAAGGGACTGTGTGAATGTTAGTAGTAGTCACTGCGGTTGGCGTGGTGGTCCTCTCAGTCCCTGGGGGCGAGTGACAATAACCTATTCATCTCTGTGCTCACCCTGGGGAGGAGCCAGCAGGTGCCTGGTGGGCTGACGTCAGCTCAGTGTTTGGTGAGTGGCTGGCGACGGTGGGCACATCCACTAGGATCATGAGGTTGGTGAAATGCCCCAGGCACGTGAAGCTTTTCCCTCTATGTTGCCAGTTTACTTCATAAAGTTAGAGAGATGCCACATGATAAACAAAAATAAATAGAGCAAAGTAAGAAGAATCTAGAAGCTTCAGGGCAGCTGTTTCCTTTTTCTGGAATGTTCCCCCAGGTATCAGCTCAGCTAACTCCCTCACCTTTTTTTTTTTTTGAGACAGAGTCTCACTTTGTTGCCCAGGCTAGAGTGAGTGCCGTGGTGTCAGCCTGGCTCACAGCAACCTCAAACTCCTGGACTCAAGTGATGCTCCTGCCTCAGCCTCCCGAGTAGCTGGGACTACAGGCATGTGCCACCATGCCCGGCCAATTTTTTCTATATATATTTTTAGTTGGCCAATTAATTTCTTTCTATTTATAGTAGAGCCGGGGTCTTGCTCAGGCTGGTTTTGAACTCCTGACCTCGAGCAATCCACCCGCCTCGACCTCCCAGAGTGCTAGGATTACAGGCGTGAGCCACCACGCCTGGCCCCTCACTTCCTTCAAGTCCTGCTGGAACCTCACCTTCTCGGGAAGGCCTGTTCTGACCACAGACTATTGATAATCATTACTAATACAAATAACAGTAACACAAAAATAAGGGGAGGAAGAGGACAAGCTACAACCACTAAGTGCTTTTTCTTGCCAGGCACTTTTTCTGCCAGATGCTTTGTACACATTATCTTTTTATGTATTTATTTATTGTTTTGGAAGCAGGCTCTTGTTCTGTTGCCCAGGCTGCAGAACAGTGGTGTTCTGTTCTCTTGTTCTGTTGCCCAGGCTGCAGAACATCAGAGTTCACTGCAGCCT